TGAGACCAAGCCTGATCGCTCTGTGCCCGTTACACCGAGCGTCTCAGCTTCACGTCTGGCGGTACACATGTGCACAACGTCGCGCACACCTCACACGATCTCGACTATGGCACTAGGAAACCTATCAGAACGTGACCTCGGTCTGCTTTGGGGGACAGCCGATTATTTGAGGGGAGGAGTAGCTGCTGTACACAGAGTCGGTGTTCCACAAGCTGTTACCACGATAAAGTCGTCGCAGCTAACAATGGTCACAGTGCAGCTCGACGAAACTACCAAGAGAACGTTTCTTAGAGGTTATCGTCGGGACCCTACTATAAGGACATCATCAGGTCGTCGGCGCCAGCGCTGCAGGTCGTTTCCAACATTGGCACAGTGCGCAAGCTGGACGGATTGCTGTTCGTAGTGGCGTCTGGCGCGTCTCTGTGTACCAGCTGGTCAAGCGCTTCGTACGACATTCATCGCAGAAGCGCACGACGGACCAGTGGCAGCGCATGCAGGAATTCGTCGAACGCAGCAGAAATTATCGCTATGGTACTTTTGGCCTTCATTGGAGCAAGATGTAAAAGCCTATGTACAGAGTTGCCCCACGTGCGCACGCTTCAAGTCCAGCACTCTTTGCAAGAATGGACGCCTCATGCCACTACCTGTGCCATCAGAACGTTGGGAGGTCGTCGGAATAGATTTCGTGACCGGTTTACCTGTTTCCAAGGGTTATGATGCCATTATGGTAGCTGTCGACTTGCTTAGCAAACGAGCTCGATATGTACCCACTTACACGACGGCCACCGCAGCGGACACGGCTCAACTGTTTTTCGATATGGTTATTCGCAATCACGGGCTACCTACCGCTATTGTGAGTGATCGAGACCCCAAGTTCACGAGCTCATTGTTAATGGAGCTAATGAAGGTTCTTGGAGTCAAGCTCCGGATGACGACTTCGTACAGGGCCCAGGCGGACGGGCAGGTTGAGAGACAAAATCGCGTGCTCGAAGATGCTCTTCGTTGCATGGTGTCACTACAAGGTGCTAATTGGGTTGATGTTCTTGGAGCGGTGGAGTACGCGCATGCGATGTTGGTCAGCGCGTCTACAAAGATGTCGCCATTTGAGATCGATACTGGTCGTGTAGCACGATCTCCGATGGGTACGGCCCATAGTCGAAACAACTACGTGCATAACTTTGCCGATGAACGCAAGCGCATTGTGGCCCTGGCGCAACGGAACCTTCGTGACGCCCAAGAATGACAACAGCAGCAGTACGATCGGAAACGTAACACGGTGGAGTTTGCCGAAGGTAATTTGGTATACTTGGCTACAAGAAATTTGCCACTGGCTCACGCCACTACTGGGACCAGACTAGACAAAGACAAGCTCGCTCTAAAGTATGTTGGCCCTTTTCACATTATCAAAATGATCAACAAGAATGTCGCTCGCCTGATATTACCCCAAACCATGAGTCGTCTACACGACTCATTCAACGTTGACGTTCTCCGTCACTACGTGCCGTCTCCGGACCGATTGGCAGATCGTCTGCTTCCCAAGGTGTCGCCCGTGCATTTTGCGGCTGGAAATGAAGACGAGGGGCTCCATATTCCGGAAGTGCTACTAAAACGACGTATTCAGTGCCGCCAACCAGAGTTTCTGGTCAAGTGGAAGGATCTGGACGAAGACGAGAGCACTTGGGAGCGCGAACGAGACATTAAACATGTCATGCATTGAAATGCACTTCTGCGCAGCTTTCGCGAGTCCCAGCGTCAAGTCCGCCGTGGGAGGATGTAAGGATGGCAAGCGAATCTACTTTGTGTGAACGAATACCTCCGTCCGAACGGAGCTACTGGGTGCTACTGTATGACCGCGAATCTGATGGAGAAGGCGCGTGATTATTCTCCCTACTACTCTTCAAGATTCAAGATCGTCCTGTGGTGTGCTATTTATATCAAAGAAGTAGCGTATGAGGCCCAAGATTCAGTGGCGGACTCCTTTACTGCCTCGCAGTGTAGGCAGAGATCCAAGTCTTAGTCTTAAACTGAATTCACTTTCAAATTTGCCTCGAAGGCCTCACTTCCACTTCTTACACTACCGGTCTACCCAGCTTCACTCGTCCGCACCCTCCAGCAACCTCCAATTCCTTCCAGCTCGCCGTGTCAGAACCCAACACGAATGCAGTTCATTTTGTCAAAGCTGATGCTGTGGATGATGTTCACATTATCCTTTCGAATTGCACACTTCGGTACGCTCAGTTTTTCTTTCTGTTTACTCTGATCACCGCTGTAGGTGCCGATTTTCCGTGTAGGTTTGACTGGCTCACGAATGATTGTAAAGATTTATCATGTGGGCTTCGCGTTAGATTTTCTGAGCAAGGTACTTGAAAATAAATAAATTAACGACTAATGTGGTCCTTGGTCAGGACCATACTGTACTCAGTGAAGTGATCCCCGCAGCTCAGATTGCATTAATTAGTACATGTATGACCCCACAGTGCTTCGAGCTTCAGTACATTATTGAATATGCAGACCACTACATGTAGCGATATACCACTGTTGATGCTTTAAGCAGCACAACTCGAAAAGGGCACAGCTGACGTCAGCAATGCTCTGAGTAGTGTATTTACGCCGGCAAATGCTCAGGTACCAAAAACAGTTTGCCTGTCAAGTTTATCAGGTCGAAGCTGCTCACTCCCGAATTTGCTTCGTCAGCAGCATGTGTTTTGGTCTCTTCCAACTTTCAAGATCTTCAAAATGGCCCACGACCGCGAGTTCCCTAAAGACTTCATGTGGGGTGCTGCCACGGCCGCGTACGTGGAGCTAAAGAGGGCGGACGCGGTGCCAGTATTTGGGATGCGTTCTCTCACACGCCTGGGAAAACGTACAAGGGCCAAACGGGTGACATTGCAATCGACCATTTCCACCGCTATAGGGAGGACGTCGCGCTCATGAAGCGAACCGGTCTCAAGGGTTATCGATTTTCATTGTCCTGGTCTCGGATCATCCCCGCCGGTGTAGGTAAAGTGAACGAGGAAGGTGTAAATTTCTACAACCGACTGATTGATGAGCTATTGGCGAATGATATCACCCCGTACGTGACACTTTACCATTGGGACTTGCCACTGGCACTACAAACGGAATTCGATGGGTGGCTGGGCAACGGCACATAAATGCAAAATGCTTTTGTCGCCTACGCTCGCGTGTGCTTCGAGCACTTTGGTGATCGAGTGAAGAACTGGATCACACTCAACGAGCCTTGGGTGCACTGTGTCATGGGACTTGCTTTGGGAGTACACGCTCCTGGACGCAAGCACAATGCTCACATTGAGCCGTATAAGTGTGGTCACAACCTGCTCATTGCACACTCGCGTGCTGTTGATGTGTACCGTAAGGAGTTCCAGAAGCGGAAGAAGTTTTTCCGTACTAAAAGCGTCCTAAACGTCCTAACTTGTCCTAATACCTACTGTCATAAATTACGGTATTGGCACAAAACTTCGGCATGGGTTATAGGATCGTTAGGACAGTTAGGACAGTTAGGACAGTTAGGACAAATACGAAAGTTGTAAGGCTACACTACCCATGCCAACGAGAGATATCTTATGGCTTACAGAATGCAGAATGCTACTCAAACGCCATGGATTCCCCGGGGACTTCAACGTCCACAGACCGCGCATGAGCAGGAGCGCTCTGTCGATCATGCTTGATGTCGTCCAGCAATTTTATGTAGGAATGTGCCTGCAGCTTCAATGAAGACGAGAATACTTGGCTATGTGTTTCTGCATGATTGGTTCCCGTTAACTTTTAAAAACCTCAATCCCAAGTTTGACTCAAAATAGGTTTTAACTTAGCTATGTGTTTCTGCATGATTGGTTCCCGTTAACTTTTAAAAACCTCAATCCCAAGTTTGACTCAAAATAGGTTTTATGATATGTCCTAAATTTCCGACTAAAATACCGGTTTTTAATTTTGGACAGTATTAGGATTGCAATATTTTTCCGGATTTAGAACCTTTTTAGGATACATTTTGCAATCTATGCCAGTAATTTACGACGTATTTTAGGATTTTGTAGGACAGTTAGGTACATGAAATTCGACACCCCGGAATCAACAAGGTGGACAGATCGGTGTCACGTTGAGTGCTGATTGGCGTCTGCCTGGCCCCACCGATGATCCTACAGAGATGAAGGCGAACATTGCAGCTGCAGAGCGCTCCATTGCGTTCCATCTCGGGTGGCTCGCGGATCCTATTTACAAGGGTGACTACCCGCAGATCATGAAGGACAGACTGGGAGATCGCCTACCCGTATTCACTGAGGAACAAAAAAAGCTGTTGAAAGGAAGCTCAGATTTCTTCGGGTTGAACAATTACTCGTCAGCGTTTGCCAAGCCATCGGACACCTATAAGACTGGCGAGTTGCCTCCAAGTGACAACACCGGATCATTCTTCCAGGACGAAGGTGTGACCTCTTATGAAGACCCATCGTGGGAACCAACTGCTGCAATGTGGAACTTTGTGACCCCGTGGGGGCTCAAGAAGCTCTGTGTGCACATCAGCCAGACGTACCAGTCTAAGAACGGCATTATCATCACCGAGAACGGATCATCGTGGCCGGACCAATCGAAGGACGAAGGTATCAAAGACGTGAAGCGTATTGACTTCTTCGAGCAATACCTCACTGGGGTTCATGAAGCTATTCAAGAGGGTGCTGATGTTCGTGGATACGGTCGCTCTTCGACAACTACGAATGGGCTGGAGGATTCAACATCCGTTTTGGACTTATTTGGGTGGACTTTGATACTCAGAAACGTACGCTCAAGGACTCTGCGTCATGGTACCACGACACGATCGCCAAGAATGGCTTCCAGTCGAACTACTCCGATATTGATGCGATCCCATGATTGTTCCTCTATTTTTAGGACTTCCGAATTTAGCGCATCAAGCTCGATTCCACTTTTGTTTTATATTTGTGTCTTCGCCAAAAGCTTAGAAGTTTGGTCATCTTGGGTTTTTAGCAGCAATGACAACGCCATCTCGCGATGGTGGCTTCAGCGATCTAAGCTTCATTTCTGTAGGTGATCCATACGACCAGAAGAAAGCCAAGGAACGAGGTCTGGGAGGTGACTTTAAGCCATTCCTCACCTGTCCTCCGAAAAAGGGCCAGCTTGCTGCTACTTTTGGTCCCGGTTTCCCGAAATACGATCCACTTGGCGGTGAGTACGCAGAGCAATACAAACTTGAAGCTCGACGTCGACTTGAGAACACGAAACAGTTTGTCAAGCCGATGGGATTCTCGTATTCAAACCCGTCCCAGAACCATACTGGGTCTGGCGACTACTACGGCGCATTCGGGAAATATGAACGTGACGAAGACGATATCAAGAAAGCGGCTGAGGAGAATGCAGCACCGAAACCCAATCCAAAAGACAAACAGTTCGAAAGGAAGAATGTGCTTACAAACCCGGGGCGTCGAGGCACTTTCGGGTATGCTGGTACTTTGATCGGCGGGAGTCTTACTGCCATGGACGCTGACTTCGGGTCGGAACGACGAGCTACTAAGATCCTCGAAGCTAAGCACAAAGCAGCGATTGGTGACCGCAAGCCCTTTAAGTCTACTACTGAAGGAGTCGATTTCTTCGACAGTCACGAACACGTTGCAGCGTCACGTGTAATGGGGTGGGATGATCAGTGTCTGGCTAAGCCGCCAGGTGCACAAGAGCTTATGAACCCCAAGGAGCGTGCAGCAGCTCGAGCTCTAACGTACAAAGTCTGGAAGCCCAATCATCCGATTAAAATAGGAGAAGAAGGCACGTTCGAGAAGTTTCCAGAGAGACTACCAGAGCCATACGACGAAGCCATCGTGAATCGTGCCATGCTACCCAATCGCCGTAACCCCGTCAAGATAGCGACCAAGGACTTGCCCAGCTCACTACGCGAGCGTAGGGCATTTAAACCCGGTGGTGGGCCAAAGACCAAGCTGACTCGAGGCACCTGTCTGCTAGGTATTTCAAAGCACCACGTTTAACGCTCTCTTAAGTATTTTTCACCCAAAAGTAAGGTCATATCTACTTGTTACCCTTCTTATCGTCTTCTTTTTACGCTTCCGTCTTGGCAGCCAGTGCGACAGAGCACAGTCGTGCCACTAGTCCATGGATCTGAAGTAGAGTGGACACTCCATCAGCGATGCACATGTGCGTGGCTCCAATGAGCTTGATGAACTCTAGTTTGAGCTTCTCGTCGTCCATCGGCAGCGCCTTGCACACTCTGAAGATCGTTCCGATGATATCCAACGACGAGTATCCACTTTTCCAGAGATCGACTGCTTGTTTCTCTGCCCCGTCTAGTTCTCCCTTGGCACAGTGATTCAAAATCTCCCTCACTACTGCGGGATGGGGCTGGTCACAGACCTTGAACACATTCTCGTCACTGACAAAGCTAAAACCACTCGCTGTGGCCTGAAGGTTGTTGAGTGCATTACGCATATCCCCTTCTGCCGTGAAGATGAGTGCAGCGAGTCCTTCTTCTTTGTATCCGACGTTCTCCTCCTGACACACAGTCAATAGACGACGTAGCAGCATCTCATCTGGCAGTCTGGTGAATCGTAGGATGGCACAGCGGCTTTGGATAGGTTCGATGATCTTGGTCGAGTTGTTACAGGCCAATGCAAAGCGCGTCGTGGCCGAGAAGATCTCCATTGTGCGACGTAGAGCCTGTTGGGCTGCCGCGGTCATGGAGTCCGCCTCATCCAGAATGACGATCTTGTGGCGTCCAGGGGGAAGCGTCACCTTCTGCTGTGCGAACATCTTGATCTTACTACGCACAGTGTTGATACCGCGGTCATCGGATGCATTGAGCTCCAGCACCGCCTGCTTCAAGCTGGTACCGAGCAGCTCGCGCGCCAGACACAAAATGCTCGTAGTCTTACCCGTTCCTGGAGGGCCGGAAAGAATCAGATTCGTCATGTTACCGGCCTTTGCCATGGCCTGCAGACTCGCGATGGTGTCACGGTTGCCTACTACATCCGCCAATACACGCGGTCGGTATTTTTCAACCCATGGAGCCTCAAAGTCGTCCGCCATCTCACTGTTTGGCGCGCAAGCAAAGTATTACATGTAATGTTTTCTACACAACCTGTTGACTTTATGTGGCTAACATCAATATGTAGGTTTTATTTTTATCAGACTCAGAAATTGACTTCAACTGTACAAATACAGCTGAGAAACGGAAAAGAGGAGACTATGGTGCGTGCCGGGAAGGGAACGCGCGCTGCTAAGCTGCATCCGCATCAGCGTCGCCGCTTATCTGAGGAAGGCAAGCGCCTACTGCGTAATGCGTTGGCTGCAGGTAGTGATGGTGGCGATGACGGGTCTATCGACTACAGTATCATTTCCAACTTCGGCGACTCGTCGGTCGAGTCGGAGCTGGAGAGCTCGTTGCAATGGGAAATGCAGCAGCAACATGCCTCTGGGGGAGGAAACGGACGCAAAGGACGTGGTAAAAAGTGGAAGGGCGACGACAATGTGGAGAACGAGGACGACGATCTGGAAGGAGCTACGGAAGAGCTCACCGAGAAGAGAGACACCACTAAGATCGCGGCACTTGAGAAGATCCTGACCATGTTACGTGCTGAAGTCATGAGTGACCGAGTGCAGACGTCTAAGGTGACGTTGACTTCGCATGCACTCGGGTGTCTTAAGAAACGATCCAAGGAATCCAGCAGCTTGGCACTCCGAGTGCTAAGCATGGTAGCGATCACGCTTGGTGCAGATGAACAAGGGTTCTACGACGATATATTGCTATCTGTGCAGAGGATCTTCACAGACAGAGGCGACAGTGCATTGCGTGTGGAGGCAGTGTACGCTCTAAGCATCACCTGCTTCATATGCTGTCCGGACGACGAGCCCAAGTGGGAGTTATTGGAGGTACTAGGAAGCTTCTTGGTGGCAGCAAAGGACGCAGAAGACGATGGCCACAATGAACAAGAATTCCCCGAGGCATTAACGATTGCCGTTATGGAGTGTTGGGCGTTCCTTGTGAGCTATTTCAACCCGTCAGTTATGATCGGTAAGGTGTATAACGCGCGCTCAATAGTCCATGGACATGTAGCAGCGCTTGCTGGCTTCGTTCGAGACGGAACAAACGCTTCAGTACGAGCCTCTGCGTGTGAAGTACTGGCGCTTATCGTGCAGTTTAAGTACATCGTTGCAGGTGCCAATGGCTGGATCTACTCGCATGAGTCAGCTGGAAGTATCATCAGCGGTCTGAGCTCACGTATCGAAGCTTACATGCGCGAGTCAGGAAAAAGTATCGGGAAGAAGAACCGTAAAGTGCAGCGTTCGATGCTGAAAGAAGTGCTGGAGACGCTGCAAACCGGTGAAGGGCCTCACAAGGAGCTGCAGGCTGAAGGTGAGACGTTGACAGTGTCCACCTGGAGTCGCTTCTTCCAAGCACACGTGCTCCGTCGTGCACTGCAGTCTGGATTTCAGACGCATCTCGTGGAGAATGAAGTGCTTCGTGAAGTGTTTGAAGTTACCGAGAACATAAACGCCAAGATCGGATTGAAAGCTACAGTCAAGCGCCGAGCCGAGCGCAAGGCCAAGACAGTGCACAAGCGCAACGACATGTCACGCAAAAACCAAGCTCGGAACGCCTTCCTATATGACGAGTAGCAACTTCTGATGCCGCCTTCAACTATTAAAGTTGTACTACGTTTAAAAGTACTATTTCAAGTACTTAAAGTACTATTACATGTAGTACTTCAGAAAAAATGATATTCCTAGACAGGGATCACATGTAGGCTACAGACCCAAAGGTTTCCTTTGTTCTTAGCTGAGGATCCGAGTCTGAAGTCCACTCTATATACCGGTACGTGAGTGGGTTGCCTACTTGCCGAGCAGCTGACGTAAAGCGTCCTGTTCTTCCTTCGTCTCGGCTGAGAGGATCTGTCGGTTGTCAATGATCTTGAGTAGCTCGCCGGTCTTGGTTACTTGCACGATGAGGTACACGTACTCGTTCTTCTTCATGCCCTTGTTAACCTCAGCGAACACGTAAGCGTGACCCGAGGGGCCCTTGATGTTGTACTTGATACGAAGACGCGGGGTACCGTCCTTGGCCTGAAGGTTTACATGCTCAATGCGGTTGCGACGACCTTCACGGTGGCCACCGTGGTCGTAGCCATAGCCATGGATTGGCAGCCCCAGACGCGACGTCACCTGTTCGATATGGACAGCTACGTCAGTTCATAGCAATGGATTATCCCTGTGTAGCCACGCACGTCGGTGTTCTCCGAGAGGAAGTCCAGCGACTCGCTGAAAAGGCCGTTGGGGCTCATGCGGCTGTACAAATCCCGAAATATGTCAGACTCATCTAATACTCTTCATAATATCAGCTGTCACGTACTTGGGCAGCAGCTCACGAGCGACGAAGTAGACGCCAACAGCACCCAGACCAATAAGGCCGAGCCAGAAGCCACCAGTGGCTGTGGCCGTCACCTTCTCGTAGGGCGTAAGTACTAGTGCGTCCGGAGCCTTCTGTCCTTCAGGCGTCGCCTAGGTAGTAGTTACGACACTATTAGATTAATTGTCTGGCTAGAGACTTAATGCGTGGTAGATCGATCGATCACCTTGTCAGCGTTCAGACGAGATCGCGTAGACGTAAAGCTGCGCGTGGAGGCCGCCGGACGGCGAGCCACCACCTGCACAGCACGTGAGCGCTGCTGCAGCGTCGACTTCTGTGCGGCGCGAATCGCAGGGGCGGACAGGAAGCGTAGCATGTTGAATGAACGGAGGCCGATGATAGAGGATCGACCAGTTCAAGAGCTCCGTATTGATGGTGTCGGCAATATGTTGGCGAGCAGAGGGTGCTGATTGGATGAAAATTGTTTTTATTACTGCAAAACAACAAAATAGCTGTACGCTTGTCAAACGACATACACAAAAGTTTGCACCATGGTCAAGCTGACGTTGCTGCTACTTGCACCCGGAACCGCCGGCAAGAACGAGACAGGCAGTACTCGGGAAGACTGAGAGAAGATTCGTTGTGACGGACCAGAGCAGAGCGAAGGAGAAGATAAAGACAACTGCGACGCCTCCCCAAAACCACTGTCGAGAACGGCGTTTGAGAGCTTGAGTCTCGCGCTTCTGACGAGGGAGCAATGGCAACCACGCCAGTGACAGCACCTTCATGATATACGCAATTACAAATGTCCATGTAACGTGCCAGCGAACATGATTTGAGTCGCGGATGATGTCAGCCACCCCCACATCAAAGAGTGCATTAACATTCTTGGCGATACACGAGGCGAATGGACTCGACAGATTGCTCACCGTCGTCAATAGACCATACACAGCAGCTTCGTTGCCAAGCTCAGCTAGCTCGACGACAACAAAAGTAGATACGAGGAAGTTCATAGCTTGCGGTAGTTCCTCCAAGATCGGTGTGCCTAACCAGAACCACTGACTCCGGACTACGTCCCAAATTGTCAGCATCCCCACGATGGCATCCAGAGCAATCACTGACACGGTCGTCCAAGCGATAACGCGATGCCAGCTCCAACCAAGACCGAAGCTCTTTGTCACATACAGAGCTGCGCTGAAAACGACAAGTCCAAGCACAGAGAACAAGCTCTCATTGAGCGGATGGACGCGAGCCCAATAGCGCTGAATCGGGTCGCCTGCCGTGACTGTGAAGCCGTCAAAGATGCCACTGAAGAATCGATAGGCCAAGACCTGTACCATGGCTGAGTTTTGAATTAAAATCCACAAGCTGCGCATGTACTCGCCAAATTGCGGTATGTGATCTCCAAGTGCTGGTTCTTGCACTAGCCACACCGCTGCAGGGATCGCCACCAGACTCAGCAGCGAGAAGATCAGCATTAATTGACTCACTGAGAATGACCAAGAAAACGATCCACCATAATCTTCGCCATTCAAGCCGAAGCCAACTAGTAGTGCTGCTAGAATCATCGCAATGCTGCGTACAAGATAAACTGTCGATTGAATGTTCCCGCGTATGTTTTCTGGCTCACGTTGAGCAAATTCCACCACGAGCCCGTCAGATGCCACATCAGCGATCATATACCCAAAGCTAGCCAACATCATGAGTACAATGTAAAGGGAACCCGAATCCGGTGCCTGCAAATTCACTCGACCTTGTAGTTGAGCAGGAGATTTCTTTGTGAGATCTTTACCTCGCAATGTTGAGTCAATATAGTACGGAGGTGCTTGCTTTACGAAGACAAGAATAAGCAGCATGGTAGAGCAAATGATCCATCCAATGACCATGTATGCGCGACGACGAGAGCGAAAAATAGGGAAACAGTCGGACACAACTCCAATCAGCACTTTGAACGACCATGGCAAGGACAGCAACACACGCGCGGATAGCGTTTGGTAGCCGTTCATGTGCAGAAAATTATTCAGGAGCGGATACACCGTCCGTGGCAGTCCGCCGTACAGTAAGCCTACAGCTGCATACTGCACTAACAACCCAATGTGACGCCAATGGTACAAGTTTGGAATGTCACCAGATCGGAGCGGCAATCCTTCGTCATCATCGTCCTCGAGCTTCTGCAAAGGGATGTCTCCAGCAATTTTCTCCTCGTCGCCGCGACTCGAGACAGCGGAGCCGACGTAAGAGAGCCGCTCCAGACGCTGCACGTCTCGCGCAGTATCCACACCACCGATATCCATACTTCACCTAGGAAAAAAGACCCCCTGTTGCCAGACTTGAATACCAACGGCTGCATCCTCGTGTAAAGGACCTCGTCCCATACACTGACGACCAACGTACCAGCCGTGGATTATTTATTTCAGCACCAAACCCCAGCTAATACCGTCAAGTCGCTGCACCATGGCAACCAGGAGATCATTCGCGACGAGTATCCATGGCAAAAAAGGCAACTTGAAGTGGATTTTTTCAAGAATGATTGTGTTTCTCTCATTTCCGCATACACCTCTCAATTGGCATACTGAGTCAGTGAAATCCATTTCTAAAGAAGCCACAACAAAGCTAATCCCAACGTCTGCCCTCTGATCGTGTCTCTCCTGCGTTCACCATGGCGTCCATGTGGTCGTCCTTCACCTACGTGCTACTTCCCCCTGCGGTGGTTCTGTACGTGCAACTCGCGTCTTTATACGCTTCGTTGTCGCCAAGATACTAATATGCTCTTTAACTGATTGACAGCCTGCTCTTGATGACTATCCCGTTCCCGGGACTCATGCTCAACCGCGGCATCGTCAAGTTCGGCGACGTTGTATTCAACATCCGCATCGGCACACTCAGCGTCTTCTCTGTCATCACGTTCGTTTCTTTCGTCGTACTCGTGGCGCAAACCTACGACTTGCAGAAGCGCTACTCGCTGCCCAGTGACCCGCATATTGAGGCGCACTATTCGGCGGATCTTCAGAAGAAGGCGACGCGTTGGCGATCGGAGCGCAACTGGTGGATCAGTGCACTCACCTTCACAATCTACTGGTGCGTTTACAATGAATAAAAGGATAGAAAGACTGGATTAACTGATTTTTGTTGTTGTTTCAGGATGCTGCTACGTTTCCACGCCATGAAGAAGAAGCTACTGAAGGCGCAACACGAGGATTAGGTTGACGCACGTATAGCTACTCTACTTTGCTCATTACACCATCGCTGAATCTTTTTGATAAATTTTCGACATGCTCATAACGGCAGCAGCTCGATGCAATTTTTCTCGCAGATTCGGGCTTCTAATTTCTTGAAACATGTTCACTATTTGCAATTTTGGTAATGTTGTAAGACTTGGGACGAGAGTTCTTTGCCACGTCCCCATAGAAAACTAGTTATTTACGCGAGAGGAGCCTTTGCTAGAGGAAGTGCGGCTTCACACCGGCACGCGTGGACCACCGTTTGATTTTGACGGGTTTGCTAGCCAGGTTAAGTCTGGCGATGACGTGGATGCACTCGACTGCGAGCACAATTGGTAAAACATTTCCATCAATAGCAATCGTTGGCTTGGGATACTTTTACTAACTTTTTTTTACTTGGGCAGGTGCCGAGCCCGTGTTGTCTTGATCGCCGGAAACGAGGTGAAAGTTCACTTTCAGGGAACACGACCCAAGTTTGACCAATGGATCCCGCGTAGTGGATGCAGACTCGCACCTCGGGGATTGAAGGCGCAATAATGAATATTGTGTCGTCGCCATGGTGTAGCATTCCGAGCATTCGCGTATTGAATACGCAAGACCACTTTCTGTTTTTTTTGAGCTTACAGTCGATTCTACCAAAGTATTTTTTTTTAAGTTTTTACCACACTTGGATTCACAGGTACATGTATGAATAGAGGGTGCCTTCTGGGATACGTCTTCTAAATCTAACTGGCATCATCGGGTGTTCAGGAGTCATTCAATACTGCTGTTGGGCATGGAGTGACAATTCGCTGCAATGTCTCCGGTTCCCAAGCAATGCAGTAGCTGGGATCGCTTTGAAGGTAACTGAAGATGACACTTGCTGAAGAAAGAACGGTGGATTTGCTAGTCAGATTAAAGCTGGCGATGATGTTGATGCACTCGACAATTGGCAGCCTTACTGCACCTTATCTATGATTACACGACAAAATGCTGAGAGCAACCTTCGACGCGCAGGGTAATTTACCAGTTTATCTTACTTAAAAAATAAAAAGGGCCGAATTTTTAAATGTTATGTTAACTTTGTTCGAGTAAGTACGGATCCCACGGTCCCCCGATTTAAAGTAAAGAAAGCACAGCAGTGGAGACCTCAGCGCCAGTGAGGATGTCGGCAAAGGGAGCGCCAACGCAAGGAGAAGACGGCTCTACAGATGGAGGCACAGGCTCAAGTCATCGTGGTTGTAACGGGGTACAATCCAGTGTGCCCCATGTCACATAAAGAGTGACCCGTCACTCTTGTGGACACCTGGTACACGGTACCAGGTGCTCTCGGAACCAGTCAGTGCATGACTACTAAGCTCCACTATAGGTAACCTCTAGTTTGTATGGCACCAAGCTTATCTTACTTATAAATACATCAGTCTTAAATCTACTCTTCTAAGTAGCAAACCGTTCCCTTTGAGGCCGGGAACACGTGGACTAACGTTCACTCGGGTAGATAATACCCTTAAGCACTTCCTCTGTGCAAGGTGCTGTGTGACCCCGTCACACTTGGTAGCACTCGTAGTCAATCCAACACCATCGCGGGTAGAATGAACTACCTGAATTCTCTGTGTGCTCAACGTTTGAGCTAAGATGGACCGAAGCGAGTTTCTCGCTTGAACGACTCACAGTACGAGTCTGTTCGGAAGATGGGAGACTTCTTTGGACAAGATGTCCTTCGCAGCTTGGCGGCGGCGACGCCTGCCGAGCAACAAGATCGCGTGACTGCGTTTGAGACCTACGAGCGTGGTCTCATCGCTCACGTCCGCGGGAGCTTGGAGGCCACGATGGCCGCTCCCCAGGCAACCAGGCCTAAGCCGGTATGGCTGAAGGTCCCAGTGTTTGAGAAGGAGGAAGGAGAGAACCTTCACTTCTGGGTCCGTGAGGTGGAGATCGCCATGAAGGCGGGTCTCATCTCGGACGAGCCAGATTGGGTGGTGTTTGCCCTGCTCAACCTTGGTGGACGTGCCAAGCACTGGGCATACACCAGGAAGACGACATCTCCTGGATGTTTTGCATCCTGGGATCAGCTGTGTGAGCAGCTTCGAGCCGCGTTCCTACCGGCGAACAATAAGTTCCGTCAGCGCTCACGCTTTCTCGCGTGCAAGCAAGGTAAGCGTGAGCTGCAAGAGTACGCGCAAGAGATGCGCACGTTGGTGGCATCTCTGGCAGAGAATCCTCTGCCTGAAGACGTCAAGACAACAGTCTTCATGGATGGCCTGAAGGTCGGTCCTGCTCGCACCCAGCTATTCCGGGTGCAAACGACAACTATGGAGGAGGCGATTCAAATCGCCCTTCAGGAAGGGTATAGCCACAAGCAGGCTGGTACTCCTCGAAAAGAGGAACATCGCCATGATAAGGATAGCGTTCCTCGGAAAGCGGAGCATCGCAGCAATTACGCTGTTTCTTCTGCTGTCACGCCGTCCGTTGATACCGGTGCGTACAGTGAGCCCGAACCCATGGACTTAAGCGTAGCCGAGAGCTTGGTCCACTTCTATGGATGCGGCAGACAGTGACACTACCAGCGTGTGTGTCCCTCGCCAGTCCTCGGGAAGAGGACAGCCCGTGGACCCCAAGTCCGGTGGCGCAGGCCACGGCCAGGTGGACGAAGACTCCCCGGCCACCAGTAGAGGCGGTATGTCCTACTGAAGAGCGCTAAGTCTTCGTGATGAGAGTGCAGGTTGTGCACACCACGGGACTTAGCCCAGAGAGACGTAGCTCTCTTAACCCGGTGAAGGGCAGTAATGGGCTGCTGGTAGTACACTCAGTGAACGGGGGCACGGTACCCCTTGAACGTTTGATGAGTTCTGGGGCGTTGATACGCCGCCGGAACGTCGCTTGGTATAGCGACAGGGCTCACCGCGGACCCTGTGGTCGAAGATATGTATATCGATGACCCGTTAGCAACCCTAGCGGATGTGGTGAATGAAGATGCTGACATGGAGGGTCTGGTGGACTACGGTGCAGGCGCAGACGGAGACGCCGCAAGCACAGATGCAGAAAACACAGACGCCGAAAGCACAGACACCACAGACGGAAACGCTGCAAGCTTAGACACCGCAAGCACAGACGCTGCAGACGGATAAGCCGCAAGCGCAGACACCGCAAACGCAGACGCCGCTAGCACCGACGCCACAGCAGACGCAGATGTAGCCGCAGAGGCCGCAAACTCTGACGGCGTGCACTCACGGACTACTGCACCTGTCGAAACAAGACCTGCTAGTCAGGTCAGCCTCGGTATGTTGCGTGCTGTGTTGCTTGATTGTGCTACTTTGTGTGTTGTTTTGTAGTGTTGCTAACTTTTTGTGGCTGTTGATATTAAAGATGCGGTTCGCCAGTTTGTGACAATCACCCAACAGAACGCCGAAGCTGAAGCTGCTACACGAAATGCCAAAGCAAGTTGTCAGTCAACTGCGGGGTCGAAGTCAAAACCGTAAGAGTCGAACGGAGTAAAGAATCGGATTGTGATGACGCAGTAACAACTGCGTTTCCACCCAAGCGCTCCAAGTTTAATAATGGGGGACAACCCCACCATGCTACTTTCACTCAGACTGTATCGGCAGGACGGCGCCTACCTCAACGAAAGACTAGATAATGAAAAGAGCGAAAGAAAAAGCTAAAAGCGCATAAGTCTGTGGATTATTTTGTGCCAGAGCTTCCAGTCAAGACATTCAGCAACTGGAATGAGTTTCAGACAGCAATCGAGAGGCACGAGGCAGAACTTTTTTGCACTCCCGAATTCGAAGCTCTGAAACTCGGGAGAAGCACAGCATGTAATCTTTTTGCTGACGAGTGGTGTTTTAATATGATATCCTGACGCTTTTATTATTCTATTTTGATTGGTGTGCTGTTTTTGTGTTGCTTAGCCGCCCCGGAGCTCTACCCATTTCGGATCGTCTATCGCACAGTTTTAAGCGAATGCGGTGTACGCACGGGGTAATGCAAGCACCAGGTGGGGAAGGACGACGAGACCATGGCTGGAGGTACACCGGGTGCGAGGCAAGCTTCACGTTTCAATCAGCAAAAGTCGCTAAGAAAGGGGTTGCCAAATGGAAATCGCCGTTCATTTGGACTTGGGAGGGAAGAATGTTTGACATTATTTGCTTGGTTTGTGAGTATTGTGGTAGGCAAGGATCTGAATGACGTTCGGGTATTGCAGTCACATTATCCAGAAGCTCGTGTTTTGATATGTCACTTCTCCGTGATAAAATACCTGAAGGAGAAACGTTCGAAGCCACAGTTTGGGAATCTTTCTGCTGACGATGCTTCTCAAGTTGATGTAGCGGTACACAAGCTTGTGTATGCGTCTTGTCAAGACGAACCTGACCCAACACGAGCCTCGCTTCGCAAGATTTGCTCGAGAATCGGAATTAATGGTTTTTATGAGTTCTTAACACGTAACTGGGATTCGTGTCAGGAAATGTGGGTCATCCATTTGAGAGCAAAGCTGCCGCACTTCCGTAATCATACAAATAACCGACGAGAAAGATTTTTTAGAAAGCTGAAGGATGTGATCTACAGCAGTATGAGCATGGCGCAGTGGGTGGAGGCCTTAGTCTCGAGCGACCGGCGGGTGGAGAAGGAGTACAAGTACCGTTTGACTCGGATCGGGTAGTTTGTGAATTCAAACTACGGTGAAGCAATGGCGAACGTATTACGATTCACTACATACTACGTCGCTGAGCAGATCAAACCAGGTTATGCTGCCGCATTGTTTAAGGCTGACAGCTACAAGTACGAGGTGGACTCTGAAGATACCGATGCCGTTTTGGCGCTTGGAGCGAATAGATCGCATCGATTTCGTTTGTCTGGCTGGCGATGCAACTGTGACTTTGCTTCATCCTTGCGACTCCCGTGCCGTCACTCAATCGCATATCGAAAGCACGTCGGCGTCGCTGGCCCAGGTATACCACGGGGCTGTATTGATGAAAAAATTCATCGTGATAGATTATTACTGGATTGTTTCAGGATTATAACAGGATTTGTATATAATTGTAGATGGACAAGCCTAATAACGAAGTTGCAGCCCGTGCGTCAGCTTCAGTACAAGGTGTTCGATGAAGATGCATCCGTTTCCAAACGTAAAAAGCCTCCAACACGCAGAGCGCTACAAGGAG